CATGTCATGCAATGCCCACAGAGGACAGAAGAGGACATCGGATACCCTGGAATTGGAGTTATGGACAGTTGTTAGCTGCTATGTGGGCGCTGGGATACAAACCCAGGTCTTCTGCAAGAACAGTCAGTGTTCTTAACTGCTGAGCCATCTCTCCAGCCCAACATTTTATTCTTTAAAGGATGCCTAGTGGTAGAGGTCCAGAGTCTAGTGTGGGATATGGCAGGGGTGGGACAGACAGGATCAGGATCACTCCACTGGATGCTGGATCTTCCTACAACTGCACCCCTAGGACAAGAATGCTCCAAAGAACGGGGCTAACCAACAGAAGTGTCCAAGATTGAGACAGCATGCCACCCTCTTGGAGGCCACAGGGTGGAGAGAATGAGGCTTCCTCATCACTGTCCTGACTTTCAGATGTTGAAGGGTAGACCAGATGCCCCTTAAATGTAGCTCTTCCCAGTTTGGCCCTTTGACCCATCCACCTCACACACCTACCTCGACAGTAACAGTTGTCTTTGTTGAACAGGGTAAAATGCATCACAACAGGTCCTGTTTCCCCTTCCAGGATGTAGCAGCTGGCAGGGGCTTGGGCCCATTCCTTCAGCTGTTTCTCTTCCACTTGGGGGAAGGGGATTTCATGGAGGCGGCAATAGTCGCCTGTGGCCCTGATGGTCTGAGAAGGGGAGATGGGGGCTGTCTCAAGGACTGTGCCTGGAAGCCCACTGGAACCTCAGCAAAGGGTCCAGGTACACAGTAGAACAAGGTATAATCTCAAATGCTGGGATTACATGTGTGTGTGGTGGCAAGGTATAACCTCGAATGCTGAGAATGCATGTGTGGGCCACCACACCCACACTGTTTACATGTTTTATCATCATCTCATGAGCATCATCGCTGAACAAAAGCTGTGGATCAGCCCCATGAGGAGTCTCTCTGTGGATTTTTATGAGGGAGATAATGCTATACTCATTTAGAGGATGAGAAAACAGATGCCCAGGGGTAGTGTCTAGAGCTCAGAGTTGCACAACTAAGACTCACTAGAAAGTGACTCTCAAGATTCTGATCTTCCCACCTTTATCACATTGCCTGTTCTGGGGAGGAATTTTTACCTCCCCAGAAATCTTAGAACCAGAACTTTGAGCATTCCAGGGCCAAAGACTCAGGAAATGGAGGACAGGCAGATTTTAGCCAATAAAAATAAGGGTGGATACCTCTGACCAAAGTGTGGCAATGTCAGTGGAATACATGTGAATGCAACCTACATTACACATAAATGTAAGACATATGTTTGATTATGACTGATATACCTACTATTATATACTGTGTGTATTTCATAATAGATACAATTGGATATTATACATGCCTGTGTCTTTTTAAGGAAAAAATAAATCCAATGCTAAGTGCATTTATTTATTTTGTATGTGTATGTATGCACGTGCATGCCACAGTGTGCATGTGGGGTCCGAGGACAAACAACAAACATCAGTTCTCTTAACTGAGGCCATCAGGCTTAGCATAAGCACCTTTACTCTCTGAGCCATCTCACTGGCCCACAGTATTTTAAAAATTATTTGTTTATTATCACTGTGTGTGCATGATGTGTGTGTCGGGCACACACACGTGTGAAGGTCAGAGAACAACTAAGAGGAGGTGGTTCTCTGTCCTCCTTGACATGAGTTCCAGGTCTCAAACTCAGCTTATCAGGCTCATACGCTTGCATGGCAAGTGCCTTTAGCCACTGAGCTCTCTTGCCAGCCCATGCTGCAAGTACTAACAAACACAGTTACATAGCACATCGTATGGTTTTGGTGCACAGTAGGCCACATAGACAAAACTGAGTCCCTAAAATCACAATGCAGTTGCAAAATTTCTACTGCTCAGTGACACTATTGTGATCATCATGTACCACAGCATGTGTGTGGTAATGCTGTTGTGAACAAACATACCTCTTTGCCAGTCATGTAGAACAGTAGTGCCTACCCACATGCTCTCTCAAATGTAGAATCTAGGTTGAAATATGTATGTGTATGCATGTGTGCATGCATATGCTTCTGTGCATGTGTTCATATGTATGTATGTATATGCATGTGTGTACACGTGTATGCATGTGTGTATGCATGCAGTGTATATATGTGCATGTGTGCATGTATGCATTTATGTATGTGCATGTGTGTATGTGTGTGCATGCATGAACCTGTGTTTGTGTGTATATATGTATGAACTGTATACATGTATGTGTGTGCATGTGCATGTATGTGCATGTGTGCATGTGTATATATGTGCATGTGTGTATGTGCAGGTGTGCCTGTGTGTAAATATGTGAATATGTGTGTCTGTACCTGTGTATTTATGCATATGCATGCATATGTGTATGTGCATTTGTGCTTGTGTGTAGGTATGTGAATATGTATGCAAGTGCATGCATGTGCACATCTGTGTCTGTACAGGTGTGTGCATGTGTGTATGTGTGTGCATATGTGTGCACATGCTGGTCATGAAAGTAGAAAAGAGAGCATGAAAGGGAAGGAGGCATGCTAGGGAGCAGAAAGGGTGATGGAGCACAGGGGACATGAAAACAGAAGGAAGACCATTTAGAGGGAGGAAAGGGACCAGAAAGAGTGGCAAAGGAGATCAGGGAGGACCTTTGAGGGAGATGATGAATAAGAACATTATGAAAATGCCATAGTGAAATTTACTGCTTTGCATACTGACCTTAAAAATCAACAAAAGGACTAGTGAGAGGCCTTGGCGGGTAAAGACACATGCCAACCAGCTGAAAAGTCAACCTCCACACAATGCACTGATTGCCACATGTACCATGGCACACTCACCTCCACCAAAAATTAAATGTAATAAAAAATTAGTGAAAAAAGAATACGGGGCTGGAGAGACGGCTTGATGGTCAAGAGCATCGGCTGCTCTTGCAGAGGACCTGAGTTTGGTTCCCAGCAGCACATGGTGGCTAACAACTGCCCATCACTCCAGTTCCAGAGGATCTGACACCCTATTCTGGCCAGTGAGGGCACTGCATTCACATGCACTTTGCACAGGCAGCTACACCACACATACATCCCATTAAAAAATCATACAAAATAGCCAGGCATGGTGGCCCATGCCTTTAATCCCAGCACTTGGGAGGCAGAGGCAGGCAGATCTTTGTGAGTTCGAGGCCACCTGGTCTACATAGTGAGTTCCAGGACAGCTGGGGCTACAAGGAGACCCTGTCTCAAAAAGACAAAAAAAATATTTTAAAAGAATAGCTCATATAGCTATGTTGGAGCTAATGACAGAAAGTAAATATAGTCACTGTTTATGATTTGCTATGTACAGTTTCCATCATTATTCTGAAGAGTAATCCTAGTCAGAGAATATTTACTGTAAAGCACTCTGCTGCATGGGTCCCTAGTAGTCTCATACTTCTTGTATTCACCAATCTCTTCACTGCCTAGGAGCCTAGGCACAGGGACTGATTTCTGCCATCCAGGTCCTTCGTGTTGGCTCAGTGATGAAACTGCCTAATGATAATTATGCATTTCTCAGATGTATCCTGTTCAGCGAAGCAGGATTATAGTTATACATTACATATGCATATATATACACATATATGTATCTGTTCATACACACATCTTTATATATATACACACATCTCTCTATGTGTCTCTATATACACATCTATGTGTCTATATACATATATCTTTATATGTGCATATATATACACACATCTTTCTCTATGTATATATGCATCTATATGTGTGATACATACACACACACACACACACACACATATATATATATGGAGAGTTGAACTTGCTATGTTGCTGAACATGACCTTGAAATCCTGATCCTCCTACCCCCACCTCTCAGGTGTTGCTACTGCAGGCTGGCACCGCCACACCTTGCTTATGCAGTGCTGGGGATCAAACCCAGGGCCTTGTGTATACTAGGCAAGCACTCTACCAACTGAGCAATAATCCCAGCTCTCTACCTTAAATTGAAAAAAAAAAAAAAAAAAAAAGCAGTTGAACTGCCACAGGTCAAACTGCTCTGGGTGGGGAGGTGGGACCCAGAACGTAGCAGAAATGCCTGTCAGAAAGGGGGTACAAGAAGGTCTAGGCTAGACTCAGAATGCCAGAGGTCTGCTGGCTACTGATAGACTGTGAACACTCCAGGACTGGGGTGGTGAGTGCATTTGCCTTCTGGAGTCCCCAGACAGCACCTGCCCTGTCCTGCTTCCCAATTGGATCCTGCGTGCCTTCCTGTAGAGCTCTGCCTGCATGCAGGACCATCTCCCTCCTCCCATATATGTAAGTTACTTTTCATTTACCTCTAAAGGATCCCCGGCACTGAAGTCAAAGGAGAGGATGAGGTGAACTTTCCGTGTAGGAGGCAGAACCAGCGGGTAGGGTGTGTTGATGGCTAAACCAGCGTCTATCAGGTGGAGAAACTCCCGGCTTTGCATGGCCTCATCTGCAAGGTTGCCTAAACCCAGGAAGAGAGCCAGTTGGTTCTGAACTGGTCTAGTCTAAGGCCAGAATGTACATATAGGAACAGTATTATATATAGACAGAGCTGTGTCCCCTTGCCCTGCACAGAACTCCATGGTGGCGGGGGGGGGGGCATGTTCAGCTCGGTTTCACCTCTGCTGTGGTCTGGACGTGGTTTGAGTGTGTTCCCCAGAGATTCATGCACTGGAAGCTTGGTCAGCAGTGTGAGGGTGATGAAGTGGTGGAAACTTTAAGAGGAGGGGCTTAGTGGAAGGTGGAGATACCACCCTTAGAAAGGATTCATGTTGGTCACAGGGAGTGGATGAGTACTTGAGAGAGAAAAGTACTTATGTGGTGGGGCCACTCCATGATGGAATCCCTTATCTACATGGCCCTACCATGTTATGATGCAACCAGAAACACCCTCACCAGAGGCTGAATAGATGGGGTCACCTAATACTGGACTTTCAGCTTCCAATGTTATGAGTTACATACGCTCTTTTTTTATAAAGTATCTAGCCTAGGATATTTTGTTATAGTCACAGAAAACAGACCAATACAACTACTCAAACCATGCAAAATGTTGAATAAGCTGGGCACATTGTGGAACTCACCTTCCTGGGGAAGCACATCTATTCGGGAACTGAAAAAAGCAATCAATCATAAAAAATGTCCATGTGAAATGGAGATCTTTTTTAAAGGTTAAAAACTCATACAATTTTATGTCTTAAAGGGCTTATACTGAGTTCAATATTGTATAACTGTATTAATTCAACTGTGAATCTAGAAACTTACAGCCACTTGTGAAAGAGATGTACTCTTGCTCTGGAGTGTGTTACTGAATATGTTAAAGCTGTAATGAAATGCTTCTCCTAATCATGTAGTTATTAAAATTTTTTTAAAATGTCCGTGGTAGTCTTATTACAAAGGAATGGTGGAACTTTCAAATGCACAGGGATGGGCATGGTCTTGGGAGGGGGCACTCATGCACGAAGAAGACAGAAGTTTGTGCAGGTTATAAAGTGGCCTTAGAGTTAATTCTGTCTGAATGTTCAAAGTAAGATCTTTTTAGATGCAGAGGAAACCATCAGCTTTTCAGGGACTGGACCTCACCCTGCCTGCCACTGACGTCAACAAGGCTCCAACATTCAGCCCAGAAGGTGCCATGCTGCCTCCACCCCACACTTCTGAGAAAAGGATGAGCTGAGGTTGCTTTTTGTCCCTCATTCTTCATACCCCACCGGGACCCAGGAGGATCAGGGAGGTGGAAGGAAGAGCTTTCTCACCGTGTTTATACAGGAAGTTGTGAACAGTTCCCCACTCCCACTTCCAATAGCAACTTCCAGTTTTATTCAGAAAAGTAAAAATGTCCCAGAGTTTATCTAGAGAGGAAAATGGAAAGGCACAAGGTGAGTACCATGGGATGGTGTTTGTTACTAATCCCAAAGTCCTATGGTGGATCTCTAACCTGCAGGATGGCTTGAGGTAGACAGGGTCTTTATGGAGGAACACTGAGACTAAATGCAGTCATCATGGGGGCTGGGCTAGTCCAAGAGGACTGGCCCTTATATTGGTGAGGGGTCTAACAAGGAGGCGCACCCAGAGGAAAGGTCATATGAGGGTGCAGAGTGTGATGGTTAGTTTTAATTGTCAACTTGACACAGTCTAGAATCACTTGGGAAGACAGCCTCCATTCCATTGAGGCCAGGTGCTGGCTCTGCCATTTCTCTCTGCAGCCCGTCTGTCCCCCTCCACTGCAGGCCTGTGTTGTGCTGTTATCTCAGGACATCCAGGATAGAAGAATGCAGCTAGGGCCAGTGGTCATATCCAACAGCTAGCTCCTGCAGGGTGGCTACAGGGTGGTATCACAGCTAATCTCCATTGTCAACTCAATGGAATCACCTAGAAGGCCCCTTTTGGAGCACATCTGTGAAGGCATTCCCAGAGTTTTCATTAAGGATGGAAGACCCACCTTGAGGGTAGGCAGCAGTCCCATGGGCTGGGGTGTCAGGCTGAATAAAAGGGGGAGAGTGAACTAAGCATCATCACTCATATCTCTGTTCTTTGTGGATATGATGTGACCAGCCATCTCCTGCCCCTTCAGCCGTGACAGACTATCCCCTCAAACCGTGAGCCCAAATAAGCCATTCCTTCCTTAAGCTGCTTTTGACAGGTATTTTGTCAAAGCACGAAGAAAAGTAACTAATACAGATGAGGACAAAGGAGGGGAAGAAGGAGACTGATGGCGTTGACACTCACGTCTGATCCAACTCACAGAGCTGTACTCGACAGTCTCTTCAGAGCTGTATATGGCGGTCTCTTTGGTCTTGTTTCTTGTTCTCATGAAGCAATGCACCAGGTATTCCAGGAACTGCTTCTGCTCATCAGGGGAGATCTTACTCCAGTTCTTACCCATCTCCACCAACCAGCTGTGTTCCAACTCACCAGACTCACCTGCCCCCAAGAAACCCAGGTGGTCACTCCCTTCAGGCTGGACACATGTCACCTGACAGGAGCCACTGCTTAGCCCTCTTTAGGTCATCTCCCCCGATGACCTGGCCAGTCAACCTACAACCTGTGCTGTATAGCAATTTCCTCTGAGATAAAAAGCACTCCCACTCTGCAAGGAAGCTTATTAAATCTTGGAAAGTGAACAACTTAAGGCTTCAGGAAAGTCCCTGAAACTGACCAGGCATAAGAGGTCCCACCCTCTTCAAGGTTATATAAGCAGTAAGGACTGCTGGGAGACACTCTCAAGCCAGCTGAGCTGCCTGGAACACACTCTCTAACCTGTTGAGCTGTCTGCAGGTTGTGTAGTGAGCTCCAAGGTTCCAGCTTTTGTAAGCTGCCACCCATTCTGGGGTGGGCTTTTGATGATGCAGCTGTTTGGAGTCATTTCTGCTCCTGTCAGCAACCTCAAAAATTACACTTCTTCACCAAGTTAGACTTTGGTGGTATACTTAACTTTGGTCCGTCGTTAGCTTCCTATAGGGATGAGTAGATGTTCGCTCACATCTCTCAGGGAATAGTGTCACACAACAGACTGCTACCACAGATGGTGCCTTCCCCAGGTGGCGCTCTCTCCTGTCTGTGGGTGATTCCAACACAGCCTCCATTTCTCCTACTTTACATGCTCTCCTTTTCTGTATTTTCTCCTGCTTCTCTGCCTCAAGACTCTGCATGTTGGAGTTCTCACAATTCAGATCTAAGCCCTCCATCTTCCAAGATTACCAACATTCACTAATCGGATGGTTCAGACTCTGTGACTATTCTGATCACAATTATTGAACACATAACACACATTCTATATTTAAACCTTCCTCACATTTGAGTACGAGATACCTGTACTACTCCGTTATATAGATGAAGAGTACAAGAACAGAGCGATCATCACTTGCTGGAGCTCACACAGCTGGGATGCAACCCGCTGCTCCCTCTTTTACAGACAACCTGCCTCAACTAGCAATTCCTGGGTGTAAGCCCAGTCCTAGATAGGATCATCTCATTCCATGTCCTAAAATAAGTATGAATTAGTTGTTAGAAGTTAAGAATGGAAATATTTCCCTGAAAACCTAGATGTTCTGGCTTCTAACCATTAGAGCAAAGTGCTTGGGTCTGAATGCCAGGAAGGCTGTTTAAGTACTGTGTGACCTTGCGCATTACTCAAATTCTCTGTGCTTCAGTTTCCCTGCCTGAAAAGCAGGACTTCTGCATGGACTGTGGTGATTGCTGGCTGCCTGCAGTGGGTTCGCTGGTTCGCTTCCATACCCCCTTGCCTCAGCCCCAGCTGGATTCCTTTTGAATATTGGTACTTCCTACCTGGACTCTGTAGGCCTGTGTAAGAAAGAGGAGGAAGGAGAAAAGGTCACAATTCTGCCTTCTTCCAACCCCTCAGCACCCACACAGCAGCCTGCAAGTGTGTCCTTGTGCACAAACCTCTCTCAGCATCAAGTGCCTGCTGCAGAGCCTGGAACTTCTCCTGGATGCTGGAGTCATCCTGGTCTTGAATATAAGCCATCACTAAATCTAAGAGCGCTTCATCCACCGCTGTCCCTACAGGTCCTTTATGTAGAACTCCTGCGTACGCTGCTAAGAGACAAAGCACCCACCCACAGAGAACATGTAGATCCCATCGTTGCCCCCCACCACACTCACACATATATACCAAATCCTCTGGGAACCCTTTTCCTGATGCTGTGTGTCTCCTACCCAGCTTCCATGTGCTTATGCATACAGTCTCCCACCTGTAATTCAAGGAACTAGATATTCCTCCCAGGTCCACCTAGCTGGTGATTGGCAGAGAAGCCCATCTCCCTTGCTCTAGGTGGGACAGTGGCAGGAGCCCTCAGGACCAGGCTTCTTTCTCTCCCCATTCACTCCCTTCCAGATTGCTTCTGGGGACCGTGACCTGGGAAGGTGAGGAACAGCACACACACACACACACACACACACACACACACACACACACACACACACACATACACACACACACACACACCCCACACGGCTCATTCATAGCAGTTCCCAGCCTAGCAGTTGAGGTAAGAATGGTATTTCAAAGGGGGATGGTGAGCACCAGATGAATGGCTGATTGTGACATTCCAAGGTCAGTAGCTGGTTTTCAAAGCTTCTTAGTCTATATCTTCATGAGTGACTCACAAAAATGCAGGGTGCTTACCTCCCTTGGGCTGATGTGTTGGTGTCAATTTTTCTGTTAGGCTTACTAAATAGTCTGAAAGAGAGTAGAGATACGAAAATACATGCTTAACTGTACAATGCAGCCACTGGCTATGGTGCTGAGTTGTTGTTTTTTGGTTTTTTTCTTTCTGGTTTTTCTCTCAAATTCCACCAGGCTGGCCTGGAACTCGTTATGTAGCTCAGTTTAACTTTGAAGTTCTGATCCCCTGCCTCTACATCTCAAGCGCTAGGATTACAAGCATGCAACCCTACTCCTGACTGGTTTTAAATGTTTTTAAGGCACATTTCTCTAGGACTATCCCTTTAATTGGTATAGCCACAATGGGTTGGAGCCTGCTGGCATCTACTGTCAACAGTTAATTTTGTGCCTCTCTTACAACTCTGCCTCTAGTAAAAGCTTATTGAGAACCTGAACTTGGAGGGAGAATTTACACCATAGAAATTGGTAACCACTACAAATCAACACTTCTTTTTCTAGAGCGTAAGCTTAGTATATCCACTAGAAAAATGAAATGTAGGCCCATCCTCCAACTTTAGCCACTGGAAAGCTAGAGAGAAACAGACTCTCCTTTGAAACTTGTCTTTTCTTAAAGGGCCTCAATTCCCCAGATCAGTTGAGTAACTGTCTTTATCAGGTTGTTCTGTGAACATGTGTGTGAGGGATTTTTCTTGAGTGTTAACTGATGCAGGAGGGCCAAGCCCACTGTGGGCAGCACCATGCCTAGGCAGGCGGCCGTGGGCTGTGTAAGAAAGCTAGCTGAGCCTGTGAGGGAGTCAATGAATGAGCCAGCAAGCAGCAATCCTCCATGCTTTCTGCGTCAAGTTCCTGCCCTTCCCTCCATCAATGAGGGGCTGTGACCTGGAAATGTAAGCCAAATAAACTATTTCCTCTTCTAAGTTGCTTTCAGTCAGAGTGTTCTATCACAGCAACAGAGAAGAAATTAGAGCAGCCTGGTCCACAGCATGGTCATTGTTGATATTAAATAAAGATCTAATATATAACTCCCCTTCAGAATGTCCACTTTGGCTGCATCTGAAACCTTCTCACAGAATGACATCCCCTTTTCTTTTATTTTCGTCCACAGCAGATGGATGTCTCCCAAAAAAGGCATCAACCAGGTATCCAGTACTGTGGCACTAGGTGAAGCCCACCATCTTTTTTTCTTTCTTTCTTTCTTTCTTTCTTTTTTTTTTTTTTTTTTGGTCTTTTTTGAGACAGGGTCTCCCTGTAGCCTGTAGCCCCAGATGGCCTGGAACTCACTATGTAGACCAGGCTGGCCTTGAACTCACAGAGACCTGCCTGCCTCTGCCTCCCAAGTGCTGGGATTAAAGGCATGTGGCACCATGCCTGGCTCTATTCTTATTTTTTAAAAATAATTTATTGAGAATTTCATACAAGTATATAAGCATATAAGGTGTTTTGATCAAATCCATGTCCACTCCCTCTCCTCCAACTCCTCCCATAACTCCCCATGACTTTTTTTCTGATAACTTCATGTACTCTTTCTTCTTTTTTTTTAATGGGGTTTTCTGCTACTCTAACATTCCCCCCTCTGAAGAGGTAACCCTAAAGTCTTTTAAGGATTAGATAAGAGCTCCCAAATAATTTCAACATTTTTGGCCTTTGGAACGGAGTATGTTGCTCATCATCTTTATGATACAAGTTAAATGCTCCCAGAGTTCATATGCATGCATGTATGTATGCATGGTTGTATGCATATGGGCACAGGTATGTATGTAGGTGCACATGCATGTGTGTGCATGCATGTGGAGGCTTGTGCTTGATACTGGGAATTATCCTCAACTACTCTTCTACCTTATTCATTAAGACAGGGTCTCTCAGTCAAACCCAGAGCTCATTCATACCCACAGTCTCTCTAGCTCAATTGCTCTGGAGATTCTGTCTCCACCTCCTGAGGCTGGAATTACGGGAAGGCAGCTGTGCCCATCTGGCATTTGCATGGGTTCTGGGGATCCAAACGCTGATCCTCACTCTTGCATGGTGGGCACTAAGCCACCCCTCCCCCCAGCCCTCCTTCCTAACTGAAGCATGCTCATAGGAATGTGCCCAGTCCTGAAATACCTTCCCAAAGATCCCTAACCTCCTCCTATAAAGTCCCTACACCTTTGTCTGGGGAGGGCAGCACTCTGGACCAATTCCCGAGCTCTCCTTACCTACACAGGTAATACTCTTTCTCTACTCTTTCACCTCTTGGCTTTGGTTATTTGGGTTTTTCACTCGCTGTGATGCAAACCCGTTCTATCAGGTTACATTATTACAATTTTAATATTTAGTGAGTCATTATGACTATGCGCCAGGCTCTGCTCTAAGTACCTTACACAAATTAGGTCACTTAAAACTCATGCCTAATAGATGAGACTGGAGGCACTGTTTTCTAATTTATAGGCAACCCTGGGTCACAGAGAGTTTGGTTGGTTGGTTAGTGAGGCATGTAAGGCAGATCTGAGATGTGGCTCCAGGCACAAACTTCGGCTCTAAAGCAGCACACTCCTCTGCCATTCACCTCTGAAGCTGTGCTCACTGGCCAGTAAGGGCAGGCAAGTCACTCAGCAAAATTCCTACAACTCTATGAGTCTCAGAAAAACGCAGGTGATAACTATAGCATCCACTCCTCAGGGTTCTGGAAAGAATATGGTGGAACAGATAACCACTGTTAAAACTTCCTAGTGCTTTTCTCTACTAGGCTCTGTCCTAGATGCTTTATAAGAATCAGCTCACTGAATCCTGATAACTATGGCCATCATGATGTAGCAACTGATGTATGGAGAGGTGACCCTACCATCCACAGGTCACAGAGGTCACCTATATCTAAGCAACATTGTTTCCAAGGCAACCTGAACTCTTGGCCACTCTGGAGCAGCCTAGCTGCCCCTGATGAAGTCTTGAGAGAAGTGAATAATGTTAGGAGATATAGTTGTCAGGGTAATGACATGCAATTCTCTTTTCTGCTAAGATGAATTTGTTTATACAAGGTATCGCTAGGCTTTCACTCCTGTGTTTTCCAAATACTCACCCAAAATAAATTTCTTAATTTCTTCAAAATCAGCTAGAACACTTCCCCATAAACCTGCAAAGAAAAGAGAAAGAAGACCAAGACATCCCATGGTGAAGTCACAGTGTATCTCACAATGACGTACTAGCTGAGCACGGTGCTACACTCCTGAATCCTAGCATTCGGGAGGTGGAGACAGGAGGATGAGGGGTTCAAGGCTAACCTGAGTGGGGTCACGAGCTCAAAGCCAAAGTGAGATAAAGGAGACCCAGTCTCAAACAACAACAAGGAATCATTTGCTGAACAAATGGAGATTCAACTATCCTTAAATTCCTGCTACATGCTGGGCACTGTGTTGAGTGTTTTATTTGTGGAATCTGGTATATCTTGCACATCTACATTACAGTTCTATTTATCAGGAGCTAGAGGCTTGGATTTGGGCCCCTCTATGAAATTGCCCCTCCTGAACCATTTGATAAGTTACCAGGTATCTCACAGGAAGGAAGCCCCTAAGAGATGCCGAAGGCCTGCTTCGGGAAGCCCCGAGGTCTCTTTCCTCCCAGCAATGCAGGAGCCAGGCAGCGCTAGACACTCAGGGAGAACACTTTTGTTTTGCCTCTACTTCCCAGCCCCACTGAATCCCATCTGACCCCAGTACTGACCTCTCAGGAAAGTCAGATCTCTCTCAGGCTTGGATTTAACCAGTTCTCCCTTCTCAAATCTGCTTCCAAACTCTGTGATGGGGACATAAGCCCCAAGTGCAGGGTAGCCAGCATGGTGAGGGGTGAACTCAAACCAGGACTCTGGGGAGGCAAAACAAGGGTGATCCACTAGCTCTGAGCCTTAAATGTAGCCAGTGCTCAGGAAAAAAGAATCTATTGAGTGAGGAATGCCAACCAAGAGACCATCATATTTGAGATGGGCTGGGTGGTCTCAGAAACAACTGGGAAAGCTTTTCCCAGGCCTTCGAGAGTCTATTCAACTGGAAGTGGTTTGTGACCTCCACAGAATGCTGTTTCCATACTTCTCCCAGTTTCTCCAAACTTGAGCCCTCTCACCCACCTTTTTCCTCTATCTCATCACAGTGGCAACCCCAGAATGTGGAAATTAAGAAGAGTCTAGACACGCTATTGCATGAGGATTATCTGGGAGCACTGAGGAGGGGATGGGTTATTGTAAGAAAGGGAACTCATATGACCATGCTTGTTCTAGAAAATTCCATTGGGTAGCTAGGGAAGGAGATGTTGGCAGGGAGACCAAGTAGAACTAATTGGGAGAGTCCTCCCATGAGAAGTTGATTCTTGGTCTAGGACATACTCAGGGTGGTGGAGAAGGCAATTGTTGCAATATGGAAGGCTGCCTTAGGGAGTAGTTGAGAAGGACTGAACTAGGGAAGGGGTTACCAGCCCTGAGAGGATTTTTGGAGAGAGTGCATACAGCCTTGACTGAATAATGGTCCTCCTTTATCAGAGAAGGTCATCCTCAACACAGTACATAGCTTCAGGAGGTCATATGGAGTGGTGAGGGAGGAAGGGGCCACCATTTTAACCATCAAAATCGGCCATATCTACTCTGATGATCAATGGAGTGATAGATGTTGCAGTCATATCAACTGCACCTCTAGACTGCTGGGGGAGGGCTTATGAAAACAAGGAGGTCGGTTCTACCCAATCTGGCAGAAAAGCAGTACAGGGACTGTGCTGGTTAGTTTTAACTGTCAACTTGACCCAACCTAGAATCTCCTACAAAAAGAGTCTTAATGATGTTGGCCTGTGGGCATGTCTGTGGAGGACTGTCTTGATTGATAATTGATGAGGGAAGACCCAGCCCATTGTAGGTCACACCATTCCCTAGGTAGGGAGTCCTGAAGAGTATGAGAGAGGAGAACGCTAGCTGCCTGATGGATGCTGAGAAATCAGGGCATTCATGTCAAACAGATGAATGCCTTCTATACATGGGAAGTGGGCCAGAAGGTCTTGATCCCAGGGAAGAGCCCGAGTATCAAGAGACAAACAGGGCATTAGAACAGTCACCAGCATTGGGGTAGTTAATAGAATCATGGAGAAAGGCAGATAAGTGAGGAAAGAGATCATCCCACTGTACCCTCAAGCTGGTTCCCTCAACCATAACATGTAACAACTAACTTTTGTCACCCAAAGCAAGTATGGGCCCTTTGGTGATGTCTGGGGCTCCACTTTGCTGTTCCTTGAGCTGAGCATCCTGTCCTGGCAGCCTTCTTCCATGAGCCCTTTGCTCCTGGGCTTCCCAAAGGGTCAGTCAGGAAAACATCCACACATTCCACCCAGAGCCTTTCTGGGGATGGAAACCAGGGCCCCACACACTCTAGGCAAGCACCATTCTGCCACTGAGCTCTATCTCCAGCCTTACGTCCCTCTCTACTGCCTTCTGCTTACTCTGGGTTTTTCTTTCCCTCCAGGCAGGCTGAAGATCCCCATCAATGGCTGCAAATATTGGGTAGGGCAGAGTTCCTTCTTCCACTGGCTTCTTTATGCTGGACAGATGAGAGTCCTGGAGCTTTGGAGAGAATGTGCTGAGACTGAGTCGGATGAGAGCACAGGGGTACCATGATGTCTCCCCCAACTGGGAGACCTTTGTACATGGCTCCTCCCCCAACCCCCTAGTGCTGGGGTATCATTTCCTTTCACTTCATCTTTGAAACCCATTTCAACAAGGGACTCATAGAGTGTAATATATGATCAAAAAGTGACTTCCCAACTGGGAAGTGCTAACTGTGGTCTCACCCCTGTGACTTCCTCTACCTCCTGCATCCTTTAGGAATGATGAAAGGCACAGGCTGTAGGAATGCTATATAGCAATTTCCTCCAAATTGAAACATTCCCTCCAGAAGGGAAGGGGAGGCTCATGGGACCCAGAAGGTAAACAAACTTCATGTGCCTGGAAAAGCTGAAACTTGCAAGGTTCTCCAGGGCCCTCCTCAAATTTATAGATGCAGTAAACTGCTGTTGGGGGCGGAAAGAACAGGACATGGGGGGACTCTGATCAACTAAGCTGCAGAGGGGAGATTCTCTATCTGGTTGAACTGCCTAACACTTCAGGATGCCCCAACATTTTGGACTTTCTTTAAAGTTCCCCTCCTCACTATGTAGCTGCAAGTTTGTCAAGTGCTTGATCTCCATAGCCAGCTCTAAGCAGGCATGGCCTTAAGGATTTTTTTTTCCCTTCTCCCCTCCAGGACAGCAGCTGAGATTTACAGCTTGCCTACCTTGAAGATTTTTCTTTTAAATACTAAATTGTCCTGAAGCTTCCGTCTGAGCCCATCTTTAAATCTATTTATTAATGAGTCTAAGAATCCTAAGAGGGGGATCGGGATCCTGCCACCCTCCTCCCATATCAGCAACTCTGGTGTATTTTAGTATTGAGACAAGCTCTAAGTGCCCAGATTTGGAAAAGCTAAAAAATAAGTTAGTCAAGGTCTTTGGGGTTGTTCCACCTGGGGCCCCACATCCTCTGCTGGGAGTGACTTACTTCTCTGATTTGCCTGGAAACAACCAAATAGGCCCAAAAGTCAGTCAGGGAATAATTCTCCATCCTGGCCGCCTGGATGGTTTTCTCTAGGCTCTCTTTAAGAGACCACTCACAATTCTCATATCGATGTTTCAGTTCTTCCTCCATGCCTTCCATCTTCCCATTATTGGCGTAGAACCAAGACAATGCCCTGGAGACAGCAAGAGGGGTGGGCTGAGGATAGAAAGATTGGCCCAAGAAGGCAGGGGAGAGGGAGTGTTAGGATGCTGTTAATCCGGACCCTCTCTCATGGAAGGATGACAAGCCAGAGAAATGATGATCAATGGACATAAAAGAAGTGTGGCAGATAAGGACTTGAACACATGGAGCATCCCCTGCAGTGACTTCCACTTAACAAGTAGGACGATAAGATGGAAGAAACACATCATGGTGTGAAGTCAGATTCCAGACCAGACTGCCGCTCAGACTGCCATACCTGTCGCAGCCCTCCCCTACTGTGATATCCACAGACCTACTGAGTCACTGTGAATCTCTAGCTGACAAAATGCCAGAGGCCAGGGGTTCTCACTGAGGGAAATGAGTTTACAACAATGGGGGTTATTAGTTGCCACACACCCTGCACCCCATCCCCTTTCTTGCCTTCTGCTGGGGAAATCAGAGGGTCTGGCTATAGGTTCCTGCTGAGAAGCACCCCCTTTCCTCAGGCACCTATAAATAGGGACCAACTCAACTAGGCCCCGATTCCTCTTCAGAGTCCCCCACCCCACTGTGCTGTTTGTCTCTGATGCTAGGGCATCAAAAGAGGCCCTGCCATACTGTTATCTTCCGTATGTCTGTCCATGGCATTAGTACCTATTTTAATAAACTTCTTAACCCCAACAGTTAGTGTCCGCTTGAGCCCCACATCCTAGACATTTCATATGATAGGCAAATAATATTTGGGGGGAATGAAGAATCTGACTGTTAACATCATCTTCATAACCAACCAGCAATGGGAATGGCAAGATCATCGTCAGTTTATAGACACGGAGGCACAGAGAGGCTCAGCAACTTCCTCATGGTCACACAGGCATATAAAGCAGAACTGAATTTGCTTCCAGATAATCTATCCTCACACTTTATTTTCTCTATTGTATCTTAGAGAAACAAACTGAGATCAAGCAGCCTGGGGAGAGGGGAGGCTCAAAAAAGGAACACCTTGCCAGTTCCTGTTAATGAAACTTGATACCCACTACTTCACTCAGTAAATATTTTTAAGACTTTTAAAAATTAACTCTTTTTTTTGTTGTTGTTTTGTTTTGGTCTTTTTGAGACATGGTCTCCCTATAGCCCCAGCTGGCCTGGAACTCACTAAGTAAGCCAGGCTGGCCTCGAACTCACAGAGCTCTGCCTCCCTCTGCTTCCTGAGTGCTGGGATTAATGTGTGCCACCATGCTCAGCAAGACTTTATTTTTTCATGTGTATGTCTGCGTGTCACTATGTATGTACACACATGTGTGCAAGTACTCACAGAGGCCAGAAGAGGCCATCGCAACCCCTTGGAGCTGGAGTTACAGGTGTTCGTGAGCTCCTGATATGGGAACCAAACTCCAATCCGCTGTATGAGCAGCAAGCTGTCTTAACTCTGAGCCACCTTTCTAGCCCCTCAGTAAATACTTCTGATGTTCACATTAACACTTAGTGCACAATGTCAACATCTGCACTGCGCAGTGTGATATAGCCATAGCCACACTGAGCAGTATGACACACCTTCATTCCACTGTGCAGTATAACAAACATTTGTCACATATAAGCTCTTCAGCCCTGTACATGGGTGGCAGGTGATCTTAACTGTCAACCCGACAAGATTCAGCATTACCTAGAAGATCTCTGAGCATGTCTTTGAGGACATTTTAAGAAAGATTAACTGAGGCAGTAAGACCCACCCTGAATGTGGATGTTACCATCCCAATGGGCTGGGGTCCCAGACTGAATAGAAGGGTGGGTAGGAGGAGAAGTGAGCTGAGCACCGGGATTCATCTCGCTCTGCTTCCTGACTGCAGATTCAGTATGTCCAGCCACTTTCACACCTCTGTTGCCAAGACAGACTGTACCTCAAACTGTGAGCCAAGACAAACCCATACTTTCTTACTTTTCTATAATTTCTTGGATTTTATCTCCCTCTTTCTGTCTCTGTCTCTCTGTCTCTGTCTCTCTCTCTGTCTCTCTCTGTCTCTATCTCTCTGTGTGTGTATGGAGCTGGAGTAACAGGTGTTTGTAACTCATCCCACGTGGATCCAAACCCTGGTCTTCATGACTGAGCAGCAAGTGCTCTTAACCACTGAGTCGCATCTCCAGCTTCATTTGTCAGGTAAGTTTTGTCCCAGCAATGAGGAAAGTACTTAATATATGTGATGAATGTGACTTAGAAACTAGATTCTCTAGCTTCAATTAGACCCTGCTATTCCATTCAGTTACTGCAAAGTGTTGAAACGTGTGAAACAAGTTTGGTAGCAGCGGCTCCTTTTCCAACTGCACATTCACTTTGACATGCAATGAGATGACTACTTCAAAATGGTAATGTGGTGTGGGTATAAAATGTGGTATCAGGGTTGGCAAGATAGCTTGGTCAGTAAAGCAGCTTGCTGCCAAGCCTGAGGACCTGAGTTCAATCCCCAGGTCCCATATAGTGAAAAGAGAGAACTGACTCCAACAAGTTGTCCTCTGCCTTCCATATTCATGCCATGGCACACACATGCACATATACATATACATGTGTGTAAAATAAATAAATAAATAAAATACTTAAATGTGCATCAGCTTTCAAAAACAGTTTAAGAAAAGGAACGTCAAATATTGGATTACTGACTGCTACTTTATGTGATTAAAATACTAATGTGGGAGGCTGGAGAGATGATTCAGCAGTTAAGAGCACTGACTGCTCTTGCAGGAGACCCAGGTTTGAAAACCCAGCACACACATGGTAGTTAACAACCATCTGTAACTCCAGTTCCACGGGATCCAACACCCTCTTCTGACCTCCTTGGGCACTGCATGACACAGGTGCATTTACATACATGCAGGCAATACACTCATACACATAAAATAAAACATTAAAAAATGAAAATAAAATACTAATATGTCTGACACTTAGGGGAGGGAGAGTCACTTTCCTTTGGGGGTATGGCCACTGGTAGGTTGCCCCATTTTGGAATGAATAGGTCCCACACCCATGCTTATATAAAAAGCACTAACTGGACTCAGTAGTTATAAAAGAAAAAGAACATGAAATTGGGAGAGAGCTGTGTTCAGGCAGGCTCAGAAGGAGTTGGAGGGGGAGAAGTGGGGTAGATATGATCAAATACAGTGCATATATGTTTAAAATTCTCAAATAAATACAAATGTTACTGGAAAATACACCATTAAAATTAGTGCCACTGTACTTATTTCCCCCCCCCCCCCCATAAGGCTTTTAAAAAGTCCGAAAGGGGGGGTTGGGGATTTAGCTGATAGAGCGCTTGCCTAGGAAGTAGTCCGGTCCTCAGCTCCGGGGGGGGGGGGGGGGGAGACGACAAAATAACAAAAAGCCCCAAAGGGCTGCGAGGTGGGGCGCCGGGCCAGCCTGCCAGCCTGGTCTTGCTCTGGGCCTAGGGTCCGGCCCTGCACAGGCCAGGGGGGAAGGGGACGCCCTGGGCCCGCTGGTCAGAGGGCAAGGGCGCAGCCCCGCTACAAGGGCCGGGCTGCAGGAGACCATGTTTGCCCTGCAGTCAAAGATCTATACATACGTGAGCCGGAACAAATGCTCTGGAATGCGTTCCCCCCTTCAGGAAGAGAACTCAGTGGCCCATCACGAAGTCAAATACCAGGGGAAGCTGTTAGCTGGAATCTACCGGAGGCGAGAAGAGAAAAGAAATGCTGGGAATACGATCCTAAGCACCATGACTCTGAGGAACAGATCAAAGACACCAGGAGTGGTCCCCTGGCACCTTTTCCAAACCAAAAATCAGAAGCAGCAGAACTTCCAAAGAGTCCACCCTGGTCCTGTGATTCTACCAATACAGTGGTCGCCAAGCAAGCCCTGAAAAAGCCCGGTAAGGGCAAGCAGGCTCCTCGGAAAAAAGCTCAAGGAAAAACGCAACAGAATCTCAAACTCACGGATTTCTACCTGGCCTGAAGGAGCTCCAGGAGGAGCAAAGCTGAGCTTCAGCCTGAAGAGAAGGAAAAAAAAAATAGAAGAATTGATCAAGAGCGGGAAGGAAGAAGGCGTGAAGTTTGACCTCATTGATGGCAAAGGCAGGGGTGTGATCGCCACTCAGCAGTTCTCCCGGGGAGACTTTGTGGTGGAATACCACGGGGACTTCATGGAGATCACCGATGCCAAGAAGTGGAAGGCTCTGTACGCACAGGACCTTCCACGGCTGCTACGTGTACAGTTTTCAGTATCTGAGCAAAACCTATTGCGTGGGTGCCACTCGAGAGACAAATCGCCTGGGGAGACTGATCAGTCACAGCAAGTGTGGGAACTGCCAGACCAAACTGCACGACGTGGATGGCGTCCCTCACCTCATCCTCATCGTGTCCCGAGACATCGCAGCGGGGAGCTCCGGTATGACTATGGGAACCGCAGCAAGGCCTCCATTACCCCTGGCTGAAGCATTGACCACCGCGCTGCCCCCCTTGTCAGCTCCCCTCCTTCAAAGGACAAAGTGCCCTCAAAGGGAAATGATTTTTTTTTACACACACTTAATCTTAGCAAAGTACTTAAAATGTTTTTATAAAGTATATTAAAGACGCCTTTTCACTTTAGTATTTAAATATCTGTTACAGGTTTCTAAGATGGACTTAGACTGCCTTATATTACCAAAACTTTTATATTCGAGTTGTTTTTGTACCTTTTTGCATAGAAGCTGAACGTTTGGGCTTCCCGTGCAGTCAGACTCCGCATAGGTTTTAGAGTAAGGAGCCAAGCATGAACTAGGAAGCCAGGTGAGGCTCTGCCCCAAGTTGAAAGCCAGGACTTCCCTGCACCCTACAGCCTAGGGCAGGTGGGTGTGAGGGCTCTGCTCCCCACCCCCTCCCATGCACAACTTGGACAGGAGGTCTCCAAGCTCTTGTTGTCCCTAACATCTCAACAGGCACATACACTGAAGTGTATGAATATTTTTTAAAAAAGATTTCGCAGTAAGCTAGTCTTCCCCTCTGCTTTCTCCAAAGCTTACTGAGCTCGGAGGTCCAGGCCAGAAGCAGACCTCTTCCACCGGCTTAGGGCTTTTCCAGGCACCTTGAAGCACTAGGGTACGCAATGAGATTGAGGCTGTAGGAAAAGCACTGTTGCCCTGCCCTAATGGGGCAGGTTTCCTGAAACTGCACTAATTCTTTATAGAAATGTGAACACTGAATTTATTTTTTAAAAAAATCAAAATCAAAAAACATTTTTAAAAAATCAGAAAAAGAAAGAAGAAACCACAGAAAACAACTTATATGTATAAAGGTCTTGAAGTGAGTGAAATGGCTGTGTTTTTCTTTTCTTTCAGAGTCTTTTGTTTTTCTTTTTGTTTGGTTGGTTTTTGTAGAGAAGATTTGAGATGGTACTCTATTCTAATCAAAAGCAAAGTTTTGTAGTGGAACCAGAAATCACTAAGCCCAATTATCCTCTACATTCCAATTCTACTGCGTGGAAAGTTCTGGACCTGTTATCAAGGCCTTCTGTTTGTCAGAACCCTTGGTGTCCTGGGACGATACAGCCGTGAAGTGTGAACCTGCCAGCCCAGGGTCTCAGCCACCACTGGTAGCATCAGGCATCTAATGGGTACGGCACCAGGGGTACCTGTCAGGCAGCAAGGCCAAGTAGCCAAGAAGCCAGGATGAGACTCAAGTTTTTCCCTGGAATATGAGCAGGAGTTGGTGGCTTCCTCTCTTCCTAGGAAGGGCTGGTCCTCACTGGTCACCTTCAGTCCAGGGGCTGGGGTTTAGGAGCCAAGGAAATGTGAATGGAGACCTACCCTTGTCCCCAACACCCCCACCCCACCCCCCTAGCCTCATGACGGTGCTGCCTAAGAAAGTCTTCCCCTGCACCCCTCACCAGCCTGGTCAGTTGTCTGAGACATAAAGGAGGATCCAACAGGATGGGGAACAGTGAGATGAAATGTCCTGATTGAACCTGTTTGTGGTTTAGCTTTGTATTTAAATAGCAAACAAACAAGGAAATAAACTTGAAAATTATTTGTCATCCTAAACAAAAATTAAAATATTTATTGCCAGGCAAGGCCAAGAAAAAAAAAAAAAAAGTCTGAAAGGACAAGTATGAGTATGGTGGCTCAAGTTATACTTCTACTGGACAGCTCCTGTCTGGATGCTCCTCCTGTGTTGGATCCTGTAATTCCAACAGCGGCAATGTAAGAGTAGTACTGGGTCCTCTTCAACAGCCAGAGACAGAGGTGCACTGAGGTGACATCTGGGCTTATACCAGCCCTCAAAGACATGCTGTGGGAGTTGAGCCAAAGTTGTTGGACTGGAAGGGCTGCCTCCTCAGTTACAGGCTGCAGCATTCTGCTTAAGCAACAGAAAGGAAATCTAAATCCTATTCCAGTAGCACCCCCTGGAGGTAGGATCAGGGAAGTACTGCGCAACCTTAAGCCGAGCCACTCAGATGTGAGCATAAGGATCATAGGTGGGATGGTTAATGTGTGTGTGTGTGCATGCGCGCAGGTGCATGTGTGGGGAGGAGTACACATGTACTTGTGTGCCCCTGCATGTGGAGACCAGAGGGCACTCTTTGGTGTCGTTTCTCAGGAACCATTCACCTTGTTTTTCGAGACAGTCTCTCAGTAACCTAGAGTTCACTATAAAGCTAGACTGACAGAAGAGTGAATTATAGGGATCCCCCTATCTCCGCCTCCCTGGTGCAAGGGTTGCAAGCAAGTGCCACCACACCCACCACGCCAAGCTTTTTAAAATATGGGTTCTAAAGCTGGGCGTGGTGGTACATGCCTATAGTCTGAGCACTTGGGAGGCAGAGGCAGGGGGATCTCTGTGAATTCAAGGCCAGCCTGGTCTACATAGTGAGTTCCAGGCCAGCTGGGGCTATAGGGAGACCCTGTCTCAAAAAGACTGAAAATAAATAAATAAATAAAGTTCTAGAGATCCAGCTCTGCTCCTTCTGCTTGTACTTTACCAAGTATTGAACTATTTTTCAGCTCCTGACACGTTAATTTTGATTGTCAATTTAATATGGCTTAGAATCACCTAGGAGACACATCTCTGGGTGTCTGTGAGGTCGTTTCAGAGAGCTTTAACTGAGGTAGGAAGACCCACCTAGAATATGGGAGGTACCATTCCATGGGCTGAGGTCTTGGACTGAATATAAGGATAATGTAAACTGACTACCAGAATTCCCATCTCCCTTCCTTTCCCTTCCCTTCCCTTCTTTCCCGCCCCATCTCTCTTTTTGGTTCTTTTTAAAAAACTTTTATTTTTATTTTATGTGTATAAGCGTTCTGCCTGCATGTAAGTGTACCTGTACATGCAATGCCCTCAGAGGCCAGAAAAGGTCTCAGATCAGATCCCGTGGAACTGAAGTTACAGAGTTGTTAGCCATCATGTGGGTGTTGGAAACCAAACCCAGGTCCTCTGAAAGAACAGCCAGTGCTCTTAACTGCTGAGCCATCTCTCTAGCCTCTTTTAAAAACTATTGTTTTAAGCTTTATTTTCATTTTAATCACATGCAAGCATGAGTGTCTGTGTGTGGGTATGTGTACTTGACTGCTGGTGACTGCAGATGCCTAAAAGGCAACCCCCTGGGGCTGGGGTTACAGGTGGTTGTGAACCACCTGAAATGGGTTCTGGGAACCAAACTCGGGTTCTCTTCAAGAGCAATACATGTTCTTAACCACTGAGTCATCTCTCCAGCCCCTCTGTCTTTTTTTTTTTTTCCTTTTTGAGACTCAGTCTCCCTGTGGCCCCAGCTGGCCTGGAACTCACTATGGAGACCAGGTTGACCTTGATCTCACAGAGATCCACTTGCTTCTGCCTCCCTCCTGAAGCTGGGACTAAAGGCATGTGCCACCAAGTCCAGCTCTCCCCCTGAAGATGCAGTAGACCAACTGCCTCATGTTCCTTCTGCTATGCCTACCACGATGGACTGTACCCCCACAAACCGAGTCAAAATAAACCTTTCCTGCCTTAAGTTGCTTTGGTTGGGTATTTTGTCATAGCAATGAGAAAAGTGACTCAGCATGTAGGGCAGAGCACACAGGGTTTGGTGGGGGGAGAGGGCAGAGGCATGGATGGAGGTGGGAGTCTGGATTTGAGTGGGAAATATTGTATGAAATTTAAAAAGCTCAATAAAAAAATTTTAAAAATAGGTGTGACCCTGCAGGAGCTGCCTTACCCCTAAGCTCTGCAGTTCTGCCTTCAAGCCACTATCTTCATCAACCATTGACCTCTCTCTCCACATTCAGCTAGTTCAAAAGCCTATGTGGCCTTATCTATGTAAGGAAAAGGTGCCAAGATTGATCAGGCATGTCTGTCCTGGGCTTGGAAGTATACTCACAGGCACGAGTCCTTCAGACCGGCCATAGGGGGGAGGCGGAGCTGAATTAGAGTTCTACATAGACTAAATGTAATATTCTATTATAAAACCTCAAAGATCCTAAGGGAATATACTGTATCCACCTAAAGTGGTAACACCACTCAGTATGTTAAAACACTACCAATGTGGAAGCAGGAGGGAAAAGAGGACAGGGAAAGGCATAATAGAGGGTCAGTCTGCTCAAAGCACATTATACACATTATGGAATTGTTGTAACAAAGCCCCCTCCCCAGCTTTATCGAACCTGGGTCCTCTGCAAGAGCAGCCAGTGCTCTTAACCGCTGAGCCAACTCTCCAGCCCCCTGGGGTAGATTTTTCAGTGATGCAGCTGATTTTGATTCATCCCTGTTCTTGTAAGTTAACCCTTGACAGACACTCCTGTTAGTAACTCCAGTAAAAACTCACTGGTTCAGCAAGTTGGACTTGGGTGTCCTGGTTAAACTTTGGTCTGCTGTGGGTTCCCTTTCTGGGTAGATGTATATGAGTTGCATCTCTGAAGGAAAAATCTCTCACACAACATCGTCATGTCAGAGACAACATGATGGTCCTGTCCTAGTTTGCTTTCTATTCTTTGATAAAACACTCTGACCAAAACCAACCTCAGGAGGAAAGGGTCTTTTTCACCTTAGAGCCACAGTCCATTATGGAGGGGAGCCAGGGCAGGAGCTCAAGGCAGAAACCTAGAGGCAGGAACTAAAGAAAGGACCACTGAGGAACACTGCTTACTGGTTTGCTCCTCTGGTCTGTGTAAGGTCTGCTATCTTATACAACCCAGGACCACCAGTCCAATGGCGGCTGGGCCCAGACGGAATAAAAAGGAGAGAGTTCTTGTGCTTCCCACTGTAACCTGCCATGTTATGTGCCCGCTGCCATCCCTTTAGTGCCGTGACAGACTGCCCTCACAGTGTGAGGCAAAGGAAGCCTTTCCTTCTCGAAGTTGCTTCTGTTAGGTATTTTGATACACCAACAAGAAAAGTAAAAATACAGTACACAGTGAAAGCACGTACTTAAATATCACACCATACAACATAAAATGTTCAATTATCACCTAAAAGCAGAAAGAAACCACCAGACAGCATGCATTTGGTGTCTTCAGGAACAGCTCTGATCTTGGTTTTGGAAAACATGGTGCACACTCCCATCCCCACAGGCGACACTTACCAAGTGGACCCAGAGACCCCTGCGAGGTACATAACAGCATCCAACAGGCCAAGTTCTTTCATCTCACTCAGGACCCCGAGACAGGCAATGTGGGCCCGCAGTCCCCCACCAGAGCCAAGCACAGCAACTACTGGAGCCTGGGCATCAGAGAAAGAACAATTGGAGGCTCAGAGCTGGTAGACAAGGCAGGAAATAAATGGGCATCTATGTTCCCCCTTGGCTAGGTGATACTGATCCCCTGGCACTGCTCTGGTAGGACAAGTCTCTATCTAATTTCCTCCATCCCCTGCTCTCCCTGGCTGAATCAGACCACAGACTCTGGGCATAATTGGGGAAATCCCACCAGTAGAGTCCTCTCTCTGACCTTTGCAGCCTGGATGCCAAGCTTTTGCAGGGCCCCCAACACCTTAGGGCCGCGCTGGTGCAGAGCTGCCTTCTCTTCTTCCTGGAGTCCAGGAATGATGCAAACTCCAGAGCTTCCCATGACAAAAGGAAAGACAACACGGGTCATGAATTTTGCAGTGAGAAAGAAAGCATAAAACATAAGAGGTGCAATCCAAAGGGGTACCGACCAGTTGCATGTGGATTTTTAAAAATCATTTTTAATTTTATGTGTATGAGTGTATTGCCTGCATGTATATAAGTGCACCCATGTCATGCAGTGCTGTGGAGGTCAGAAGAGGGCAGTGGATCCCCTGGAACTGGAGTTATGGACCCTTGTATATCCACCATGTGGGTGCCAGAAACTGAACCCAGGTCCTCTGCAAGAGCAGCAGGTCTGCTAAACCACTGAGCCATCTCTCCAGCCCTGCAAGTGACTTTTTAGCAAGTAAAGAGCTGTGAGTATGAGATGCATAACAGAGAGAGCCAGCTCTCACAAGTTGTCCTCTGATCTACACACATGCTCTGTGGCATGTATGTGCAAGTGCACACACACACACACACACACACACACAAATAAATAAATGGAATTTAAAATTTTTTTAGAGAGGGCTGGAACAATGGCCCAACACTTGAGAGTGCTTGCTGCTATTGAAGAGGACCCAAGTTAGGTTCCCAGCACCCATACTGGGCCGCTTACAACTGCCTGTAACTCCAGGTCCAGAGGCTCCAACACCCTCTTCTGGCCTCCTCAGGCACCTGTCCCCACACCTCTCTCTCTCTCTCTCTCTCTCTCTCTCTCTCTCTCTCTCTCTCTCTCTCCTCTCCCTCCATTTACAGGCTACTCTGAGCTTCATTAATGGTTAATTTTTGTCAATTTGACAGAAACTAGAGTCACCTGGGAAGGGGGACCCTCAACTGAGGAATGTTTCCATCAGACTGACCTGTAGCCATGTCTGTGGGGCTTTTTCTGGACTGTTACCTGATGTTGGAGGCCAAGTGCACTGTGAGCAGTGCCATCCCTGGGAAGGTGGGCCTGGGCCGTTAGGAGAAACCTAACTGAGCGAGCCAGGGGAGCAAGCCAGAAAGCAGAGTTCCTCTGTAATCTCTGCTTCAGCTCCTGCTCCAAGGATCCTGCCTTGGCTTCCTCTTCAACTTGGTTTTTGGTCAATGTTTTATCATAGCAACAGATCATTTTTGTCCTGACTTACTGAAATTACAGTTTTTGGCATATAATAAATATGAACACCCATTGGGTCCCAGGACCCAGAGGGTCTGCATGAAACACTGAGGAAGACATCGCCACTAAAGAGGTACAGATATCTTCTTGCCCCTATTCTCTAACCAACACAGTACAGCAACTTCTTCCACAGAACTGACACATACTAGGTATTAAAAATAATCTAGAGCTCATATAAAGTACCCCAGAAGATGTGTGGCTATATGCAAATACCAAGCCATTTACATATGAGACCAAAGCACCTGATGATCTGGGGATTTGCCAGAGGGCTAGCAGGGGTCCTGGAATCAATGCACATTATACTATTAAGATTGATAGCACTGTAGAAAACAGTTCGGTGGTTCTCAGAAATGTTGGGTAGAAACTGGGCATGATGGCTTATGCCTGTAATCTCCGTACTCAGGAGGCTGAGACAGGAAGATCTCCAGTTCTGAAGCCAGCCTGGGCTCCACAGTGAGGCCTTATCAAAAAGGCAAAAATAAGTAAGTAAATAAATAAATAGGGTGGGAAGATGGCTTAGTCAGTTCAGTGTTAGCTGGGCAAACATGAAGATCTGAGCTCAATCCCTATCATCCATGTAAGAAAACGTCAGGGATAGCAGTGTGCACCTGTAATCCAGCTCTGAGAAGGTGAGAAAGAAAGGGTCCCTGGGGCTCGCTGAGCTCCAGGTTCAGTGGGAGACCCTATCTCAAAAAAATAAGGTGGAGCTAGGTATGGCACACTCCTTTAATCCCAGCTCTCAGGAGGCAGATGCAAGCAGGTCTCTATGAGACCAAGGTCAACCTGGACTACATTGCAAGTTCCAGGCCAGCTAGGGCTATAGAGACCCTGTTTAAAAAAAATACAAAGGTGGAGAGCAATTTGATGCCAACCTCTGGCCTCCACACAGAAGTGTGTCCTCCCAAATATGTATACACACAGACATACACAGCAAAATAAATACATAAATAAAAAAAAATCTAACTACTTTATGACTCAGCGATTTCACTCCTAGGTATAGGATAGAAAGAATTCAAATAGGTGTTCAGACAAAACCTTGCATGCTGATCTTCCCTGCAATACTGTTCATAGTAGATAACAAGTAGAAACAAACCCAATGCCCCAAGTGACTGGCAGGTAAGCAAAATGTGGTCTACCTGAAGGATCAGTGATCTAAAGGTTCTGGTACGTGCTACAACATAAATGGACCTCACAATGGAAATACTAACTGACAGAGCCAGGAACAAAGTTGTATCTTGTATGACCACCCTTGGTAAGACACCCAGAATAGGTTACACCACAGAGGCAGGAAAGAGGTTACTAGCTGCCTGAGACTGGAGAGAGGGAGAAAATGGAGAGTTGTTATTGATAGGTAAGGGGTTTCCTTTGGGGGCCATAAGAAAATTCTGGAACTTGGTTGTGGTGGCAGTTGGCCCACATGCACTGTGGCTATGGTAAATGTCACTGAATTTGTTCAGTTCAAATGGCTAAGAGTAATTTTACATTATGTGTATTTTATACAATAAAAATAGTGAAAAAAATAAGTGGACAAAAAGTTAACTGCACCTGTTTCTTGGGACCAGCGAGATGGCTCAGTAAGTAAAGGTACTTGCCACCAAGCCTGATGACCTGAGTTGGACCCCTAGGCCCCAGCTGGAAGAAGGAGAGATCTGACTCTCAAAAGTTGTCCTCTGACTTCCACACACAGTCTGTGACCCAAGCACACACACCCAATGCACAAAATAAATAAATGTAATAAAAATATAGCCATAACATTTTAAATTAGGGTCTTGGTGAGATGGCTCAGTGGTTAAGAGCACTTCTTGCTCTTGCAGAGGACCTGGATTTGGTTCTCAGTACCCACAGAGTGGCTAACCCTCTTCTGGCCTTCATAAGCACTGCACACATGTGGCACACTTACATACATGCAAGCAAAACACTCATACACATAAAGTAAAAATAAATTGTAAAAAAAATTGAAATTAGATCTCTGACTCACCTTGTGTTTGTCCTGGACCACTGTGATTTGGGAAACTGCTCAGGGTTCATCTTCCCAGCTTCCTCAAATATTTTAAATCTTTCCTGTCCCCGTGGCACGGTCACTGCCAGTTCTGCAGTGGGTTAAACGAGTCCTGAGGTCAGTATTCGTTCTAGATATGGCTTCTGAGGGAATGAACTAGGTGAAGACTCCTTAAATCAGAATAGTTCATCGAGCCACCCTTCTTTTGCAATGGTTACTTGATAAATATAGATTGAATTCAAATATCCAGAAAAAATTGAGGTGGGGCACAAGGAGGAAGAGAGGGTAACTTCATCCCGTGGCGAGCTTGTTGAAAGTGTATTGGGGGAATTTCTGTGGTTCCCTGGCTTTGGGCCAGCTCTCATCTCCTTAATCAGTCCTCAGTCCTCAGCCCAATGGTTGTTTCCCTCAGATCCTGTGGACTGACCTTGCCCTGGCCTAATCCTGACGTTTTCCACTTGGGCAAGGTCTTGTAGTGTTATGGGAAAATTCTTCAAACAGCTACAAGACCAAGCATTCACCCAGGAGAGTCAGAAGACTCATTTATTCCTTACTCATGCATGAGGGTCCCAGAAGCAACAAAGGCTTTTTAGATTCTCTGGGGCCCCAAACCAAAGTACAGATGGGGATTATATAGTCAATTTTACATCATCATTTTATGGTTAGCACCCGGGCCTTATGTTTCTTTACATGATGGGCCATGTTATCTCAGGAAATATTTCTTTACATGATGGGCCATGCTATCTCAAGAAATTCCTTCCTGATTTCACTCGGTCAACATAGCTTACAAAGTAGGTAATTCCAGGTGTAGGTCAGGATATCTACCATCTTTTAATCTATAGCTAGGCCAGGCTAATTGGACTAGAACCCAGTCAAAAAGTCATTACAGTTTACAAAACCAGGTATTATCAGCCGAGGTTTAGATTTCTGACATATTTGATCTATACTTTTCTTGGACTAATTGGACCAGGTGTCTCATGAAACCATTTGGTGAATTTTCCATTCTTTAGTTCTACATCTTTAGCAACAGTCAGACACAGTGACTGGAAAGCATCACAGAGCTTCAAAAATTTACAGAATAACAAAACATCTCAGGGTAGGGAAAACACCACAGAGCAATAAAACATCTCTAAGCATCCCAGGGTTACATTTCAAGGTATCTACCCAGAAAGTAAAACAAAGGAAACTTCAAATGGCCTAAGCGTACAAGGACATTATATACAAACACAGTTAGTTATAAGAATATAACTTTTTCCTTATCAGTAGCTGTTTCAAGGCCTAATGGAGGTTGCTAGGCAATGGGCCCAGATGGCATGGCAGGGACCCGACAACGGGGCACCTCCAGCTTCCCCATGAGCTTCCATCCACTCTTTCCTCCTGTGGAAGAAACTGTTGAAGAGTCACATTTCGTTAGGCAAAATTAACTCTGAGAAATTTCCAGTTGCAAGTTATTACAGCGACCATGGTGGTGATGTGACACACCCAACACAAGAATTGGTTTTTGCTTCATATCCTGAGATTGCTTTTATCTTTTTATCAGTTGATCCATCCCTGTGCCTGTTTGAAATGAAAATCTTGATTTTTCTCTATCAACGTAGCTGGTAGATACTGTCCCCAGCAGGGATCTGCATCACCATCAGGGGTCAGACTGCAAACACCTTCAACGACACAAACACAGGGACCATAAGAGTACAGTTTGGTAAAAAGTTTTTGGTACTTACAGACCTTGGGGCTACCCAGCAGGCCTCCAACGCAGAGACAGAAGCAGCAGAAACTAGCGATATATACTGGGGGACTAGGATGTAGGTGGCAAGCAAAAGCCTGCATTTAAAAGAAGCCCAGCCTGTGGGAGAGGGAGGGTGTC